TGGAAAAGTTATTGGTTAGACGTATATGGTGGCCGATTGAAAGCAGTAACATGGTTTACCGTCGCAGGAAATCATGATTGGTACTCTAATGTCACCTTTCAAGTTGATTATTTCTGGGACGATGATTCCAGATTCTTTTTACCTGCCCTTTATTACGTTCGAAAAGTTAAATTTGGTGATAATATCTCGGCCGCCTTCATACACATAGATACTGATCCCTTTTATTACAACTTTACCTCTTATAAAAAAAAAAATAATTTAAACCAAACTCTTCTTGATTTTAATTTATACACATATGATCAAATTAATAATAGATTAAATTGGATTGATCAGCAATTGGAAGATAATAAGGATGCTGATTGGCTTTTTGTTGTTGGTCATCATCCACTTGTTGGTGATTGTCGACTTCAAAATCCTGCTTCTTATTTAATGTATCTAATTCCTCCAGTTTTGGAAAAACACAAAGTATCTGCTTATTTCAATGGTCATTCCCACGAACTTGCTTATTCAGCTCCAAATTCAACTTCTACTGTCGCTTATTTCGGTTCAGGTGCTGGTGGTGCTAAACTTGATGCTGCAGGTTGTCAAAATCCTGATTGGAGTTCTATTGGCACTTTTGGTTTCTTGTCCGTTAGTATTCCTGCTGATGGAAAGACTTTATATTTCGATTATGTTGATGCAAATACCACTAATGCTCCTCCAAAAGTCATTTATTCGGGTCAAATTAATTCTAGAAAAAGTTCTTAAATATTTTGGCATTGTATCTTTTAATATATACACTTAATATTTTCATGTACAATTTACAATATATGTACAATTATAATTTATCTTTAGTAACTATTTTTTTATATAATACAATATACACATATACAGTTCTATAAATTTATTTAAAGATTTTTAATTCAAATGAAGCATATACAATTATAATTTTATAGTACATGTAATTAATATGAACTTTACATAAAATTACATTATTAAAGAAGATTTTCTTGGTTCACGTGTAGTGTATGTACACGTAATAATTTTTATAAACAAAAAAAAAATTTTTTGTATGCCCATGAATATTTTATACTCCAGATCCGTTCTTTCGTCAGATTATGTACCCATGCTTATATCTGCATTTTTTATTGGGTACAGGTACAAGTCTGGGTTGCAGACCCTAATGGAATGCAGAAATTATAAATAATATTTACAGTGATACGTATATGGTCTAAAACCGTACCAAAGGCCTATTAGTGCTAACCTTCTCTTATACAAACATCATTATGGGAGTTTAGAGCCAAAAAAATCAGTTCCTATCAGAATTATAAATTTTTTTTCAATAACATAAGTACGAAAAAAAATGGTAAAATAACGCTTGTATTTACCTTCTATGATTTGTTCAGATACAATAGTATATTCTCCTGTTGGAATTGTAAATTTCTTTCAACAACGTACTTACGAAAAATGGTAAAATAACACTTGCGTTTACCTTCTATCATGAATTTTCGTTTCATAATTTCATCTACATTTAAAAATGCATTTTTAATTTTAAGCTGCTCATCATTCAACTCTTCAATTCCTTTATCAAGAATTATTTTCCATTCCCGTAATTTCTCAAACTTCTTTAGCCGTTGGTCGTTTTGTTGGATCGGAATCAATACATTAATTAATTCATGAAGCGGTTTATGTTGAAATTAGATGGTACTGAAATTTGTAATCTTATTTAAATTTTATAATACCCTAATAATATGCACTGTTGTATTCTCTTATTTACAATCCTAAATATCCTAAATTTAATCTAACTTTAAAAAAAACCTATATAATAAGTCATTACGGTGCATTTATAAATGCCAATACAGACTATGCTAATCAATATCTCCAATTTAGGGTAGAAGTATGAGGTAGATAATGGGAAAGATGGGTTATGCATCCAAGAATTTTTTTCTGGGTTTAGCATTAATTAATTACAATGTAATTGGTAATTAAAATTAAGTTTGGCGTTTGGTAACCGACTTTTTGCTTTATTTAACAAATGCGTTGTAATGCTTAAATCTTTAATAATGCCAGTATATACAATGATATAGCGACAGGTCAAAATTTCAGCATCAACTTCCAATGATAAATATAAGGCATTAATTTCGTACCATGCATCCAAGTCCAATAGTTTGAATTTTAACATCAGTTTTACCAAGTTCACGAAGAGCAGACATTTTGAATAATTTAACAAATAATATATATCAGAATTGGTGCTGGAAAATTAACATCATCTTTATCGTTATCGTTATATAAAAAATTTTGATATGGCATGCATAGAGGTCCCCGGTGTAACTATAGCATGGAAGAGTATGGGAGAATTATTAACGTTAAACAATTCACAAGGTCATGGTTTTTAGCACCTATCCTGTGGGACATCCATTACTACTTTAACCATTATGGGTTTTGTGGACCGGGGTAAAATCGCCACCCAAAAAAGTTTCGAAAATCATGTGTTATTGTCAATTGATCATGATTAAGATCATG